TACATCAACTCAACAACTAAATGAGGAAGCATGCAAATCGTCATTGTTTTTTAGGTGTAAAAGCAGACAATCAATCAATGGGTGCGTAACTTATGCAAACAATATGCGAAGAATTTTCGATTTGGATATGCGGTGCAGACAATCAATAAATGCGGTGCGTAACGTATGCGAAGCACTTTCGATTTGGATATGCGGTGCAGACAATCAATCAATGCAGTGCGTAACGTATGCGAATAATATGCGAAGCACTTTCGATTTTGATATGCGGTGCAGACAATCAATCAATGCGGTCCATATGGATATGCGAAAAAAATGACGGATAGTCGTAAATTATGCAGCTTTCGATTTGGATATACGATACGTTAATTATGCGGTTGAAGACTAGGCGAATCATCCCAGTTGTGCGATTATTATGGGATATGATATGGGAATCGCACAATCAACCCAATTGTGCGATTATTATGGGACATGTTATGCGAATCGCACAATGAACCTAATTGTGCGATTATTATGTTACATGTTATGCGAATCACACAATCAACCTAATTGTGCGATTATTATGCGACATGTTATGCGAAACGCGCAATCAACTCAATTGTGCGATTATTATGGGACATGTGTGATGTGTACAGGTCAACCCAATTCTGATTTCGACAATTGTACTTGGATTACGAACATTTGCTTCTCATTGACCTCTTTTTCTTCGTCGCCTGAGTCACCATTGTGCGTGTTGGTTTGGTCATCATTATTGTCATCGTCACGAGAATGAGGAGGTTTGATCTTCAGCGCCCCGAGGATATCCAGTATGTGTAAATGAGCTAAGGCCTGCTTGATGTGAATATGGGGCCGCGTGGGAAAATGCAGAACTACCAACACCAAAAGAATTCGGAGATACACCTTGGGACGCCATCATTTGCGTGAAGCTTTGTTGCGCCGCCCCCGGAATCCCTACATTTACTCGCTTCTCCAACTCCACGTAAATGTTGGGATTTCTTTGTTCTTCAATCAGCTCTAAGATATCCTCACTGGATTCGATTTTCATCTTCACAACTCGTTCCCTTCCATCAAATACTGCCCACAATATGTACTCAAAATTACAAGGATTGACCTTCAATAAGGCTTGAATACGAGAAACTACTTCAGAATACATTTGTCGGCCGTAATTTATTCTCATCAGCTCTGCCACTCCACCAAGATATGAACCCTCGCAAAACGAGCCACCAAAGTGCACCAATACTCTAACACGGTTGCTAGCCATTCAAATAAGTGAACAACAAAAAGAACTAAAAAAAAAAGAAACAGAAAAATGCAGTAGATGAATGGTGCAGGCGTTAAATTGTTAGAGATCGCTGTTTTTTTGCCTGCATGATAAATGCAGAGACCAAATCCTCACCTGTGAAAAAGCAGTTAATTAATGAGGTGCGCAACTTATACGAAAGATCTGCGAACGAATTCCGAATAGTCGTAAAATTGCCAGGTCGATATGGCCCTTCGAAAAAATGGCGCATAATCGTAAAAAAAAATATGATTTATTCGATTTGGTTATGCGATTCTTAAATATGCGAGCGAAAAAATGTCACATAATTGTCAATTATCCGGAGGATATATGCGAAATTGTTTCGCATATTAGTAAATTATGCGATTGACTTGGATATGCAATTACCAGAAAATTCGTATTCAACAAACTATGCGAAATAGATGCGAAATATTTTCGCAGTCATAAATTTGTAAGGTTGATATAGCCCTGCGATAAGAAGGCGCATAATCATCGTAAATTATGCTGCAATCGATTTGTATATGCGATTATTAAAAATGCGAAAGATGTTCGCACATTTCTAAATTATGCGTTTGATGTGGATATGCGATTAAAAAAATGCGAAATGTTTACGCATTGTCATAAATTATGCGGTCGATTGGATATGCGCTGGTTCATTTGGACATGCGAGTGTAATATCGCATAGCATTTCGTGAGTTTTGGGGTGTAAAAGAAGTTATTTGATGGGGCGGTGTGTAAAAAAAAAATAGATTTATAATGGGGTGAAAAAGATTTTGACCCTTTATCTTTATCTCCAACACAACCCAATCTAAATATTTATTTTATTTTAATTTATTTAAAAATTACAATATTGTTCTAAAATATATCAAATGTGATTTTTATTTGTAGAGAATAAAAAATACGAATTTTAATTTTTTTTTTAAAAACAAAAAAATACACTTATCCAATAAAAATGAGATAAGTATCTCAATTTTACTCAAAATCCGGTAGCGACCCGAGATCACAACGTGGTTGGTTGGATCACTGGATGGCCTCGCCCTCGTGGTTGAAAGCGGCTCAAGGTAATTTTTCTGTTACGCAAGAGTGTTGTTTCTGAATCAAAATGAGCATTTATCTACCGTCTATATACGTACGTCTCATCCCAGTTGCAAAGAGGCCATTGATCCGGCCTTCGGATCCTGTTCAATTTCTTTTATGCTCTTCTATTATACTGTCAGAATCTTCTATACACGATTGATTTGCAAATTGATCCTTGAGTTTGGTGGATAACAGTGCGATCTAGATTTTCCTCTGGACAAATACTTGTCAATCGAACTGTATCCTTGATCATGCAACCTGGTAATGATCGTTTCTTGTATTGTCAGAAACCTGCTGTGCTAAAGATATGAAACTGTCGATCTGTTAGATACAGGATGCAATTCAACTTGTAGTTCGTGATTTCCCGCGGTCCGACAGTATATCAATTAAAAGTGGGTTTGTAGAACCTTTGATGGGTTTAATTTGGATATAGCTTCTTCATTTGCAACTATTGCATGCATAAATTGCCTGTTTGAATAATGATTTTGGTGTTAACTACTGCAAATTTTGGTAGACATTTTGTATTAGTGTTTTTAGTTCTCTGTTGTAAGTTGGTTGGACAGTATTGTCCATTGTTTAAGATTTGAACTCTCTTTCTTTGATTTGTGATTGGTTAAATACTTAAGATCTTAAGAACTATGGGAATCCTTTTCTTTATACTGTCTCTTTTGCCTGGGTGAAACATGAACAGGATTCATTTAGACACTCGTGAAAAGGAATAGAGAATTAGGTAAAAGATGTGTGTTGAGGATTTGCTATGAAATTGAGTTTATGAGTAAATGTTGTGCAATGCCAGAACTTAGATTTTAGCAATTTAGCTGTACCATTAAATCAACCACACAAATGTGACTACGAAATTGGTCCAGTTGATGAATTTTGTATCTTATTGTTTTTCAGCGTTTTCTCGTGTGATGATTAAAGAGTATAGGCATTTTCTGTCACAATAATTGGGTCACTCGATGGCTTCTTGGTTGAAAGCGGCTGAAGGTACCTTTCTTTTAATTCTTTTGTCATGCTATTGCTTCAAAATTATGAAGTGATTTTATCTACTGTTACATGCATCAATGGTCCAGTACTAGGATCCTTGTCTTATCAGAGTTACGCATTTTTGTAAAGTCCCAACTAATTAAATCCTAGTTTTCAGTTTATTGTTATGAGCTTAGTTTTGTGCCGTATATATATATATATATGCATGGCGTTACCTTTTTTCCACTAGTAAACTGTATATTGGAACCCAAAAAAAAAAAAAAAAAGGAAAGCAGAGGCATGTTGTTACTGGTTTAAAACTTTAACAATGAATCGAAAGACATTTTGCTAGAAAGAAACTCAACTTTATATGGACCCTTATTTTGTTTCTTTTTGCTTGGACAGATTTATTTGAAGTTGTTGACCGAAGAGCGAAGCTTGTGGTCGGTGAGAAATCGGATGATTTGCATGTTCCCACCTCAGGTATATGTTTGGAAAGTTCATTCTTATTGGTTATTCTCTTTGTTACAAGTAATGTTAAAAAGGTGACATATCTACAGCTCCTCAAAATGCATATTCTATTAAGTATTAATGTAGATTCTGTAAGGCCATCTCCAGGCTTGGTCTCGAATCTCAAATTACTAAGACCCTAAAAGATAAAAAGATGACACAACAGAGTTTCAGTATTCTTTTTTATGCTCTAGATTTTGGGTTTTATAATTGTAAGACATTTGCAATTAGTTTTCTGTAAAAATGACAAATGCTAATTTTTTCTGGTTAATATTTTTATACGTAACTAATATCCAACTGTTCATACTTTTTTACGAATATTTTGGTCTAAAAAATTAAAATTCAGATTTTTTGGCCAGTTTGAGCAACATTTTAGATTTCCTTAGATACCTATATTTTATTATTTGAAATGTTACAACTAATATCAAAATATTAGTAATCATTAATAGTGAATTGTTATTAATAATATATTGGTGCTAAATATCATTATTATCAATCTATTTTTATTACGAATGTTCGGTTTCAGATGCATATAAATTATTGGCAAAGAGTTGATCAGCTAGTGGGCTGTATAATGAGTGTGTGTGTGTGTGTGTTTATGTATTGATTGTGTGAGTTAGTGGTGAAAGTTTGGGCCATCAGATTACATTTTCTTCTACAAATCTATAATTGAAGCCGTGGGGTGCAAGTCCACATATGCACAACACATTGAATCATATTCTTTCTTCTCACGTGGGTCTGTCATGCAGTTCTTTCATAATACTTCAGGTGCCTTTTTTTGTCTCCTTGAGATCCACATGTAGAGATAGTCTAATATGTTGAATCTTAGTCTACCTAAAGAAATACTATCATGAATGATAGTATGAATTATGACGATTCCAATGTTATGTCCACTTTCTATGATCTATGTACTTATCAAGTTTGATTGATCCAACTTTAAGTGTGAAACTCGTGAATTGAATGAAGCAATGTTCAGTTTGAAAATTCATGAAGCAGATAGATTTCTGACTAAATAATACCAAATTTGGATTTGTTATTGTGGCCCATTCTTCAATGGTTTGCAAACATGACTGGAAATTCACGACTAGAAACAGAACATAACTTACTACTTGAATTAATCAGCTTAATAGCATTGGATAGACATCTAGGTATCTTGATTCCTCAAGGGCTTTGTGAGACCTAAACCTTACTGGTCTGCAAGGTTTAAGGCGTGCCCTATCTTGCTTTGGGGTAATTGTCCTCTCCTAAAGGAAAGAATTGAAACGACTTTTAAGAGGAAAGCATGAATTCATGGAGAGAATTCTATGGCTTGTCCGTCGATAGCGAGTTCAAAAGTATATCTTTTGTTTGATCTGAAATGTCTTATTTGCTTTACAAATCTATTTATGAAGGTTCCAATGGACAAGGATCTAAACCAAAGAGGGGTAGGCAAAGAGCGAGGGTAATCTTCTTTCTTTTTTCTTTTTCTTTTTTTTTTTCCCTCTTTTTGTTTGTATTTCTCCTTAATCCTTAGTTACCTAAATCTTGAACACATTTAGTTCAAACATTTGTATCTTAGTTAAAAAAACTGGTTACAGCCCCAGAGTAATCTCTCATCCAATGAAGCTCCTCCTGCTGCTGCCATAGACATTGAAAGAGAAAATGCTATACCTGAAACCGCACAGTCACTAGAAGAACCTGATGGAAGTATTCCTGTGGCGGTGATTGAAAATAATGAAAGTAATCCGAGTAGTTTTGGCAAAATTGACAGTGATGAACAACAGAAAGCTGATAGTGAGGATGCTGTAACGGAGACATCCCAATTTGGATCAATATCTAATAATGACACCAAACCAGTGTGTGATCATATGAGTGAAGATGCTTGCACTAAGGCAGAAGGAATGGCTGCAAATGCCGATGAGATCGTCAATGGTGATCTCACGAGAGATCACTCACCTGGAAGTCAATCAAATGCTGGAAAAGACGTTGAGGTTGTAATTGGTGATTCTCTTGTTGATTCCAGTGAAACTACAATGTCGGAAAACGAAGGTTCTTTAAAAAGTAGGGAACCTTTGGAATCTCAAAGTATAAATGAAGATGCAGTACTTAAGGCAGGTTCTCAATCAGAAGATGTTGATTTAGTAACTGAAGCTGTTATCCAGGATAAGCAGCACCAAGAGGAAAAAGTTGTCAACTCTGCTGCAAAAGTACAACAGCAGCTTGAGGAGGTAGAATGTGTATAATTTGAGAATTTTTTGTCACTAACTCTTTAGTTATAAGCTTTTAATGATTACAATAGTATGGACTAAACATTATAATGTGACAGGCTCAAGGGTTACTGAAAAGTGCAATTTCGACAGGGCAGTCAAAAGAAGCAAGGCTAGCCCGGGTGAGAATGGACATACTTTTCCTTTTGGTGCTATTATATATTTTTTTCCTCCTCCTAGCAGCAATTTGCTATTTTTTAATCGGTTTTAGTGTCTTCTTGTTATAAGTTAGAAACTTTTTAAGGGGTGCTGTGTATTTTGAAATGCAAAATATTCATGCCAACATTTACTGTTGTAACATAGATTTAAAGTTTCTATGCCCACCAGCCATATCGTCCGACTGATTTTGTGCTTTTCGCTAAAAATTGGCATTAAGTAACAGTTTGACAACTCAAATATATGGTGTCAGTGTTAGATTTCTTGATGCAGTCCACACAATTGTCCTACGAGCACAGTGGCGAGTTTATTCCTTAAATGATGCCGTAGTTGAGATAACTACTAGTGATCTGGTATTCTTCTCTCGCAAGAGATTTGCTTTGATATACTTTAATACTCTTAGGAACTCGTAGTTAAATTGGGGATTCCCTTTTTATTAAGAAGCATCTTGTCTGAAAGGTGTTTATCAAGAATTTGAATTAGATCTCTTTCACCACTTCATGCGTCGAGATACAGATTTTAAATTTTTTAATAAATCCTAGTTAAACAGGTCATGCAAGTGTCAAAGGACTGTCTCTGGCAATTCTCCCTCTCACATATGAATATGAGTAGTTTAAGAAAATATTATTATATCTTATAGCTTAGATAAATTAGGAAGTCCAAATTGGGACGAAGAACCGTTTGAGGATGTATCTTGTGATAAAGATAGGACAAAGGACAATCGGATGTACTATCCAAGAAACAAATAGAAATATTGAATTGAGACGAAGATCTGTTTGAGGATGAATTGTGATAAGGATCGGACAAAAGATACAATTGGATATGAATATCTAATAAACATATAAGAGGACTACCTGTTGGCTATATTAGAATGTATGAAATGGTATGATGAACTCCACAAGACCTTCGTAAGGACATTTGATCAGTTATTAAACATTGACACCTCCATGATTTTCAATTTCACTATGTCAAATGCCAGTTTTCGATGTATGGTATATTAAAACACTTTTTGTTAAGAAACAAGGGATTTTTATTGAGAAAGACGTAATAAACAAGAGAAGGGACAAAGTAGTCCTAGATATTACGTAGAAGCAAATCAATTATAATAAATAGGCCAAGTCTTAGTTATATTACGCTCACAGAATGCCTTGAACACTTGGTGATTTGCCCTAAACTTCAGTTATTTTCTACACCTCTAGATTTTCTCTCTATATTCAGAGTCTTTTTCCTGAGCAAACTGATCAATATAGCTTGAGAAATCACTCCAAAACACTTGACCTGAGGTATTAGTGAATCACAAATATTCTTCTTAATGATATCAGAAACTGTTTGGTATAGACTTCTAAACGCCCATCTCCCGTAATGCTCTATGCCATAGCCATAGGCAATGGGAGAAAGGGCTATTGAAAATAAAATGCGGTTCTGATCTTCCATTTGTTTTGCACAGTGCGTAGGTTACCCTTAAGTCGCGAGACAGAACTTAACCAACTTAGGTATAATTCTTTCGAGCTTGAAGCATATTGCATGTGGTAATACCTCTCATGGTTTCAAAACTACTCTAAGTTACTGAAATTCAGCACTTCACGAGTTCTTAAGATACATTTCTTGATGATATATACTAGATTTTGGAAATAAATTTACTGTGTAAAGACCTAAGATTCTATGACTATAAATGACTCTACCCCACGGATGATGAATCTTACCCTTTCCAAATAAAATGAATATTTACTCCTCTTGGGTTGATATGTGTTATAATTTGATGGCTCATAATTTTCAAATTGAGTCTTCAGTTCGGATATTAGCTTGAACCCAACTTATGAGATGCATTTGTGCCAAACAAACTTGAGTAACTTTCATCATTTGGCCTTCTAAAAGTTCTCTTTCACCTTTCTTTATATTCATTGATATGATTCATTAAACTTGCTTAATTTGTCTAGCTCTTGCTTTTTGTGATTAGACCCCTTGAATACGGAAAGGACATTCTTGCTTGGAATCGACTGCTTGTTTAGTAATTAGCATAAGGAAGCGTAGTGATTCTTTTTGCAATAATTGTTGTCTGTTATGGATGCAAATACTCTATGTTAACTGGTCCTTGGTACATGTTTCTGGCTGCTGTATAGTATGAGTATTCATTGCATTAGTCAAAATTAAAATTATTTTCCTTATGGAAAATGCTTTTTCAGCAGATTATGGCAGTGTCATTTAGAAGCCCAATTTCCCCTTAGCTTAAAAGATCACTTTGTTTATTGTGCAGATATCTTTTATAAAAATGTGCGATGAAGCTTAATGATTGTTGTGGTCAGGTTTGTGCTGGACTTTCATCACGCCTGCAAGAGTACAAATCTGAGAATGCTCAATTAGAGGAGCTTCTCATGGCAGAGGTGTGTAGTCGCGTTCTTGTTATAACTGAAGGTTAACTAATGCCTTTTTAGTCTGTCATTTAGGTAAGGATAACATTTTTTGTGGTTATATAATTTCTGTAACAGAGGGAATTGACTAAATCTTATGAGGCTCACGTAAAGCAGCTTCAGAAGGATCTGTCTGCATCTAAAAGAGAGGTAAGCAGAGTGGAGGCAAATATGGCGGATGCATTATCAGCAAAAAATGCTGAGATTGAAACCCTTGTTAGTTCAGTTGATTCACTAAAGAAGCAGACTGCTTTAGCTGAAGGGAATTTGGCATCACTGCAGGTTATTTTTGAACATTTGGCAAGTAATGATCATTATGTACTTCTAGAACCTTGGGGAATATAAGGTTTTCGTGAGGTTGATCTTGAACTGCCATCCAAGAACTTTCTCCTGAAATTGATGAGATGGCATTAGTAGAGGAAGTGGTATTTGTATAGTTGTACTGTGGCCTTATTTTCGTTCTTCCATTTTCTTTTGTGCTGTAATTGATGGATAGCGCTGACTGCTGTAATCCCCTCAAATTGTTGAATTGTCTTTATGAGAAACTTGAACATTGTTTTATCTTTTTGTTCATGACCTTTTCCTCCAAATTTGTTCATATTACATTCTTACTAGACCTCCATTGCTGAAATGTCTTGTTGATCTCAGTAGTTTTATGTTGTTATAAGTTATAACTAATACAACTTTCTTCCTGATTTTCATTTAATTAGGAAACTGATATAGGATACTACCATTGTTCACATCCATTGCTATTGTTTTATCGTGTCATGCATTTATACTCTTCTTACCCATCCTTATTTGTATTTGTCAGGCAAGTATGGAGTCTACAATTAGAAACAGAGAACTAACTGAAACAAGAATGATGCAAGTAAGACCACAGTTTTTTTCTTTTCTTTTTTGATTGGTGCACAGTTTTTTCTTAAGTGCAAGCAACATGGTTTTATAGTGGAGCTCTAACATAAAAGTGATTGATCTGATGCCAGGCCCTGAGGGAAGAACTGGCTGCTGCTGAGCGAAGAGCTGAAGAAGAGCGTTCTTCACACAATGCTGCAAAGTTGGTTTGTCACTGGTTTCCTTTGTCGTTTTGAATGTATTCTATTCATTTTGCGCCTGTATCGGTTGTTCTTTACACCCCCGCCCCCTCCCCAACACACACACACACACACACACACACACAAAAGACTCGTGAACTTAGACGATGGAAAAGGTGTTAGATGCCGAATAATGATCTTCTGAATCTATAGGCAGCTAGAGATAGAGAAGTAGAATTGGAACAAAGGGCTATTGAGGCATCCACGGCCTTAGCGAGACTCCAGGTAATGCTTGACAACCTTTTCATGTGAGCGTAACCAATTATTATTATTATTATTATTATGATTATTTATTTATTTTTTTTTTCATTTTTCTCTTAATGCTTAAGGTGGGTATGCGTATGATTAAATCTGTTCGCGAAGTTCAATTTCTGTAAGAAAAGTTTGTTGACCAAACATTTAAGTCCAGCTAGTACAATGATGCCAAGTCGTATCTCTATCACTCAAGCTATTCCATGTAGAGTCTCTTAAATGGTACAATGCCAGTTCTGGCTCTCATTCACACAAATTTTGGCCCTAGCCATGGACGGATTTATTTAAGGCCTGGGCTGGGCTGAAGCCCAGGCCTATTTTTATTTATTTAACCATTATTAGTTTTCAAATTTTTTTGATTTTGTACTTAGCCCAGCCCAAACTCAATAAATCAACCAATGAACTCACCAAAATGTTCTTATCTATTCAAGTCCAAAACTCCATACACCATTCCAAGCAATCACTGTTACCCCAAACTCGACAAACTTCATATTTCCAATAGAAAATAATAATCAGTTGCCTGTCCGATCTAAAAAAAAAAAAGACTACT